AGTTGATTTAGAAAAGTAAATTTTTGCTTCTGATGAAAGTTTCTTGTAGTCCAGTGTATTTATTCATAAGGAACAAATTTTTTATTTATTTTTTTCAACGATACGTCAAATGACTACAATTCGTACCTAGGTTGAAGATATTACCCTCAAAAATTGAAAAAAAATTTTAATTTATCAATTAAACAGTTAGTTATTCCATTTCCTCCATACAAACAATTAAAATCATTAATTTCTAATGTTTTCAAAGTATTTATTGACGAATCAAGTTTGATATGATAGGTTTCAACTACAAAATTAAATCATTTTACTTTGTAATTTAATAATTTTTTTACTCTATTTGTGTGTGCTACTACTAGACTATCATATTACAATTTTTTTTTGTAACATGTTGCTATATAAATCATTTCTAAAAAAAATGATTGTTTTTTCTCCTGAATTAACAATTGATTTTTACAAATATAATCAAATTGTATTATACGCTCAATTTTTTATATGTAAATACTCATTTTTTACTAGTTAGTAATAATATCAAAAATTAGAAGTGATAGAAAAAGTCTAATTTTAGATTTGAAAACGGCGCGAAAAGTTGATTTAAAAAAGTATATTTTTGATACTGATGAATGTTTCTTGTAGTCCAGTATATTTATTCATAAGTGACAAAAAATTCATTAATTTGTTAAAATTAAATATTATCTACAAATTTTTTTATATGCAAATACTATTTTTTAATAATATTAAAACTTAGAAGTGATAGAAAAAGTCTAATTGCACATTTGGAAACATTGCGAAAAGTTGATTTTGAATAGTATATTTTTGTTTCTGATGAAAGTTCCTCGTAGTCCAGTGTATAAAACTTATAACTTTGTTAACTGTTATAACTTTAACAAAAATGACCAAATCATTATAATTTTTTTTATTTAGATGCATGTCTTTTCTATCATTTGTTTTTTTTATAAATCTAACTCTTTACCTGACCACAAGTGGGATTCAAATTTATAACTTTCTTTTTTTTTAGCTAAAGTAAATCATTAAAATTAATTCAGTTCTGGATATTTCAATTGTACAATCTTTTTAAATACTAAAAATTACTTAGAAATGATTACTATGATTTCTATTTAGGTGTTCTATTACGATAAAAATACAAAAAAACAATGAGTTTTTCTGATAAATATACTGTAAATAGTAATTATAAAATTTCCTGACTGCATATTAGTCTTAAAAATAGCATAGTTTTAATTCTCATAAAATTTTCTATTTAATGATTCATTCTAGTCAACGAAGGATTAATTTTGGAGAATAGCAGAAAAAATTCTCAACCAATTTTTTTTTCTTTGTTTTAATTAGGCAATTGGTGGATTATTCTAAAAGCAACATCAACTCTTATTTCTTTAATTATATCCTGATTAGTAGTTCTTTGATTTTAAAATATAATATATGAATAAATACTAATTATAATTATTAAATTTAGTATGAAATTGATATTCAATAATTTAATATTGTAATTTAAACGGAGAAATTATAAAAATAATAAAGAAGTTGTATTTTGCTTTATTTTTACGTGTATAAAAATTTAAAGGGCTTAATACAATAATTTTCAATAAAAACTGTTTG